TAATGCACCTCACTCGACCCTTATGAGCCCTGGTGGTGGAAAAGCGGTGTTTTAGAAAAACGAACGCTATCCAAAGCCCTCAAGAGTGTTCACGATCAAGGACATGCGATCATCACAATCATCTCAACCCTCAAACGATTTTGTTTCTGCGAATGACTATGTTCCAGACGAGACTATTCAAAGACTCAAGGATATCGCCAACAGGGTTCACGCACTGAATAGAGACCCGAATGAGGACCCAATCAGCAGCTCAGGAGAGACTACGCCCACTGGACGTTCCTTGGAGGTGAATTCATTCAAGTCGTCAGCCCCAGACCAAGCACCACAACCCTTGACCCGAAGTCGCCTACGATCTATTCCTGATGCAAGACCCAATAACATTGGAGCGGTCTATGATCGGCTACAAGACACCAATAATGGATCTGAGCTTGCTACACATGGCAGTGATACATCACGACCAGCTGACTTAGATACCAACTCCATCAACACCAATGCTCACGAAGCAGCTTCTGAGGATGAACACCGGGCTTATTACATCTTCGACCCACGATCGAATGGCTCAGCATACTATATGTATAGAGGTACCGAGGAAAATGAGGGATTCAAAATTGAGAGGGTATCTTTCAAATTCTCGGCACAAGAGCCAGGGGTGCGTGCCTACTACTACCTCGAAGCTTCAGACAAGGACCAGGGCGTACTGAGGCATGGAAGCCACGAAACGCTCTGGAGGCTAGATCCATCCCAAGTCCCCGCAGAGATTATTGATACCGAGAGCTCAGCTTCCCGTGAAGCAGAGGCAGAAGCAGGCGACCCATTGTATGCCGGCGAAGAAGCTACCCAGAGTATCGCTAGAAAAGTGAGTGATCGCCTTCAAAAGATCAGGCACTTGAGAGAACATCTGCATGTCATAAATGGAAAGGGCCAGCAAGTCCCAGAGGCCAAGGGGCTTTACCTCATTGGTGATAAGGACATCCGAGATGTCGTCAGTATCGTGCTGGACGAAACACTCAAGAATGGTCATATCGAATTACCCAAGAGAACACCTACGACCACAGGGTCATCTGAAAGTCGACCGTTGCCGCGACTCGATGAGAACTCGAATGCTATCCTGGTCCCTTCTCCGATGGCGATCGACCCTGCGACTACTATTAATCTACCCAGCACATCTTACACAAACATCAACGCAGCTGACATGCAAGTCCATACCAAAACGCGTGGCGGGGCTTCGGAAGCAACGACAACTGTTGTGACACGCCGAAGTATTGCTGAGATTACTTGGTCTCGGGCATATCCAGCAAATTATGATTCGAGTACACGAACACATTGTCGAACTGTTTCGGACTGTTGCTCACCCACACATGGGGGCTCACGTTCGTGCCCAGATGATCGTCGACAGAGCTACCAGAGGCTGACGAAAGACGAGTCTGTCCTACGACATTATGCCACACCAAAAAGCACAGCTGAAATACTGGCCGATATCATGTGCAATAAGAGGTTTGAGCAACAGCTGAGAGTCAGCGACGGGACTGTCATCACGTCTTTCCCCAGACTTTTTTCCCGTGACTGCACCACTGACCTCACCTTGCAAACCGAGAGTGACCAGTCGAAAAAGCATACTCCGCCCACGCTTTATCAAGACGGCGTCGATGCCCACTGCGGTGTCGAGCAGTTGGCCGCATCGAGTTCTTCTCTAGAGCCCTCAAACACACACTCATATAGCAACCCTTTGTTCGCTGCTAACCCATTCAGAGCGCACCCAACCAAACTGACGGCGGCAGGGAGGCATCTACCAACTCCTCTTGCGGCGGAAAGAAAGCTAAGTGCCTCACTCGACGCAGATACACGACGACGCCTGAGTGCCCATATCGCCGGCAATGAGGAGGAGATGATCGACTCTCAAAATGGTTCACGGCAAAGTCTGATGGACAAAATCAAACAAGGAGGCCACAAGCTTTTCCACAAGAATCACTCTCGGAAGCGGACAGGAGGAGCTCCGATCAGAATAGCCGAGAATGATATATCGCCGGGCGGCTTCTTGCGCTCCAGGGACAGCATTGCCAGGGAACCCACCCCTGAACCACCCCTGCCTGATGATGAAGAGATATACGAAGCCATGGAGGGGAGCAAGCTCAACGTTCCACATCCCAGAGAGGGGGCATGCTCCGAGGACAATCAACCTCATGAATGCGTGAATGATTTGTCGTCTCGCGACATTTCACTCAAATAAGCAGCAACTAATGAGAAGTCAAGGGGGACGACAAGACATACGTACCTAGGTAGATCATTTCATATGAAGAATCGAACCTAATGATACTCTGAAAAGACCTTCAAGTTTTGTTTGGTATAAGGATGTTGAGGTAGTATGCTTTAGTGCATCATGAGAGACCAATGAGTGTGTCACATCACATGCAATTAATGTCTATTATCCATATACTATGAGTCTATGCCGCCTTACTAGCCCTCGCTTTGTTCTCCCTATGCCGCTTCTCTTTCGCCGCAGTCTTGCGACGCTTCATCCATGATCTATTGAGATCGCGCCTGTTATCCCAGAACCAAGCCTGAAAATCGCTTGAGCTTTGTGGAGCAGAAACATCTTTCTCGTCTCCATCCTCGTCGAAGCCATGCTCTCCCATGTCGAGATCTTCGTCGCCGTCTTCCTCATCCTCAGGCCAGAAGTTGCGCATTCGTGAGGGATGCGCGGTGTCGGGCGTGGGCGCAGCACTTCTAACGTTGCGCCATTCGAAATCCTGGCGAGAGAAGGGCGTCATGGGCGCAGGGGTTGCGATGGTAAGGCTTGCGGGGTCTTGGTCCTCCTCGTCTTCGATATCGTCGTTGTCAACGCCCCCAAAGAAGCTGAAGGGCTCAGCTTCCTTCTTGGCGGGAGTCTCTGCGGCGACCTCGTCGGGCTTACTACGCTTATAAAGGGCCTCAAGGGGGTGAACTTTTGTAGAGGGTGTTCCAGGAGGGGGTATCTTGATGGTGAGACTGCGGGAAGAACTTGAGGACGTGGGTCTTGTTTCGTCGGCTTTGATGGCTGAGAGGGGTGTGGCTTCTTGGGGTGGTTCGGGGGAGTCGGCTTCAGAGTCGGAGGACTCATGATCTGGCTGAAGAGCTTCCTTGGTTGTGTCTGTCTGTTCTTTCTTCTCTTCGACTTGAGCATCAACTTCCACCTCATCCTCAGTCTCCTCATCAGATAAGCCGCTGCTACTAGTACCACTGCTACTGGTATCGTCATCTGACTCCTCGACAGGAGGAGGTGTCGTCTTCTTGACATTCTTCTTCTTGGGTACAGGTTCAGGAATCTTCTTCTCCTTGACCGTCTCGACTACATTGCCATTCTCATCGACCCAGCCTTTACCCTCAATAAATTCGGTGGCTGTGTTGGCTTCTTCCCCATCGACCGAGGTCTTCAAGAAGCTCGGGAATTTTGTGGTCTTCTCGAATTCATGGACAATGACTTCGCGCGACTTGCCCTTCTTCTTGCGCTTTCGGGGTTGATCATCCTCAGGGAGACTGGAGATGAGATTAGGGGGAACCTTGGTCTTGAGCAGACACTCATCTCCGTCCGTATACTTTGATTTTAGGCGCTTCTTCTTCTCGGTGTGCTTGCCATCCTTTTCCTTTTCTTTGTCCTGCTTGCTCTTCTTTCTTCTCTGATCGGCGGGTTCTGTCCATCCTCTCTTGACTTTGCGGTCTGTCAGAGCGACGCCCCCGACCACCTCGTGATCACGCTTTCGTTTTCTCGATTCCTCTTTGGATTCCTTTGACTTCTTCTTTTTCTTCCTGGACTTCTCCTCTTCCTCCTGGTCAACTTCACCGGCAGGTTCAACTTTCTGTTCTGGTCTGGCCTTTTCGATCCGTATTTTGTTGCCCTTCAACACAGCGCCATTGAGCTTCTTTTTTATCTTGTCAGCCTCCATTGTTGGTAGTTCGACAAAGCCGTAGCGTCGCTCGGGAAACGTCTCGAGGGTGTGATATGAAATGTTGCGCGCCTTTGGGGCTGCAGAAGCTGGGATAACAATCTTGAGAAGCTCGGGATCGAGAGGGCTTATGTGAAGCCTTATGTAGTCGCTTGAAGCAGACGTGGCTTCAGCAGACATTGCGAAGCGAATGGCGCTGTCGTGAGGAGTTTGTGCGACGCCAAAAAGCGTCGTTGAAATGAGTATGTCGCTCTCAATGAAAAGGAACGAGCTTTTGCTTTTGCGATTCCAATTTGGGGGAAAAAAGTTCCAAGGACCCTTGGAGGAAAATCTGCGACTTCTGATTGGTCGAATGGAGCGACTTTGATCCGGGAGCCCTTAAGTGAGTGCAATATGTATATATATTGCATGCACAGAGAATCACCTAGATAAAACAAACAAACACGGGACTTGAGAAACAACTCTTGGAAATTGGTAAAGAAAAATGGTTCAGGTTTGAGATTTAACCAAGAACAGTCTCGTCTCACAAGGACGAACCTGAAACTGGGTAGACAAGCTGACTAAATGACGTCTCACTTGCCGCTCACATCTCAACTCCTTTGTCGCAGATATTTGATCCAAAGAAGCATCTGCCAGATTGCATTATGCACATTTATCGGAGACGGTCTGAAATAGGAAATCGGATCTGAACTGATGTAACTCTAGACTTTGGGGTCTATAGTCCCCGGGTCTTATTGTGACAGACCAGGGATCCTTGAAACCCTCGGCCTATGCTGCTGGGACGAACAGTGTCACAGCGAGCTTCGTCTTTTGGGGTTATACTGAGTCTAGATATTCGACATGGAGGCATCCTCAGGTCCAGGTTTCGGTGTCATGCTCGATTCAACTCTATGCTTATGCTTAACGATGGTCACATATACTCTCGACATATAAAAGGCATGTAGATCCTAGGTATCTAAACAAACTCATCACTTCTCAACTTGTTTCTCTTCAGTTCGTAAATCCCTGGCGGATCTCTGTTTATAATAATCTTGTTTTATCTCTCTTTCTATTTTTCCGTCACTCACTCGCTCATCCAAAATGCACTTCCCTATTCTTCCCATCATCATCACACTGGCTGGAAGCGCCCTCGCAGGTATGCATCCTTTTCTTGCCGAGCCCTTTAAGAACATACCTACTAACGCATATAAGCGCCTTATCTTCCCAAGAGACAAAATCCTTGCTTTGTGACTGGTTCCGAAGCTCTCCCCGATGAAGTTTCGACACAGGCCACGAATCTGGCCTCGGTCATCACCTGCGACAATTCGAAAACAACCATCGATGGTGTCCCGGATGTGAGCTCTGGCGGTGTGACCTTTTCTTCCATCAACTTTGCCGAATCAGGCCAAAGTCCTCTGGCTTTCGCTCTCGACAAGTTTGCAACTACATCGCCCCTGGCCAACAACAACCTCGATACGTTTCAGAATGAGCTCAATGTTTACCTTGCAACTGAGGCTGGTATCAGATCGACTGGTGGAAACCTTGCGATCAAGGTTCCCAAATTCTTCTTGCAGTTCCAGATGGCTCGTATCCAACAGGCACAGGGTGCTGTGTCTGACATCCCTGGCCAGACCGTTGACCACCAGTTGGAAAAGGTGCTCAAGAATGCAGCTGGAGAGGACCAGGCTCTTCTAGACCAAGTGAACGAATTGGCTGTGGACTTGAACTAAGTTCTAATGAATGGTATATAATACATAATTGCTCCGATTTCCTCCGTTTTCGAGTCCGAACAAGTGACTCCAGCCTCGGGGAGCAAGAAAACATAAGACTCTAGAAGATAGGCTCATTGCCAAAGTCTTTTCATCACTGAGGATAAAGGTCCTAAGTTTCCTTGCCTCCCCCTGTCCAAGTCAGCCATCATTATAGAAATACATCCAATCATAACAATTAGAGAGGAGAATGCATTACGCCAGAACCTTTTCAGAAAACACCTGCTTCCATCATGACCCAAGCGCCAAAGAAATCATTTAAGAAGTGCCACGGAACCAAGGCTGGGGATCCTGCTCGTGCCTGTCGCCGCCGATGGCCTTCCACCAGGTATCGGTACTCCAGCGAATGATACGCTCGGCGGCACCCAAGGGTGTAGCGGCAGGACGCACATCGAGGAAGAAGACAGGGTCACCGTGGGCATCGGGCTCGCCAGAGTAATAGTCGATGATGTATCGAATCTCCTTCCTTTGGCCGTTGATCTCTCGCGCAACGTACCAGTCGTGTCGGTCAAATGGAGGCTCGGTACTAAAGTGTGTTAGCCGCAGACGTTTGCACGTTAGAATCACGAATACTTACCCAAACTTTGAAGGGTAAATCCAGCCCAGAACCTGCATCATGGTGGCCTTGGGAGTTAACTCCTTGGGACGACCCTGGAAGCGAACGAGACTAGGCTCGGTATCGATGCCGTCCCTTTGGCGATCAAGCTCTTCCTGAACATGACCTTCGCCCCTCTTGCAGATCTGCCATCCCTTGTAAAGCCCCCGCGCAAATCGTTGTTCCCAACCAAGAATCTCCTGCCATGCGCCCTCGTTCAAGAAGTTGTGTACCGAAACCATGCCCTCGACGGCGGTGATATCGGTATCGGTATATCCCTTGCGCAGCAGCGCGTTGTACATCTGCTGAGGAGACGGGTACTCCCAGTTGCCATCTCCAGTGCCCTTGGGGATGGTGGACTCATCTCGGGTTGTCGGGAGAGCGAATGATTGGTTAGGAGCAGGTTTTTGCGATAGATCGGGGAACATGTAGTTGAGAGGGTTGAGCTGGGAGATCAAAGATTTAGGCTGCTCTTGGGTTCGGGCGGCGTGAGGAACGGGACATCCTGAGGTGGAAGGAAGATCGACAGGCTTCTTGGGCTTAGCCACAGGGTTCATGGCATCAGCAGACTTTTGGTGCATAGGGCAGCCAGGCTGGGGAGAGTTAGCGATATGGTGAAGATATATGAGATTGAGGTCATACTGGAGGAGCCTTGTCGGTAGTAGCTGGGTGTCCGACAGGAACCGCAGAAACAGGCGTGTCTGCCCAAAACCAGCCCATCGCGAATGGCTATATATTAGAACTGTGAAGGTCGATGAAGTAACTCGGTGTTGTTGGCCTGAGTGCTGAAAGGATCGAAGATTGTGTTTGGTGATGATGACAAGGACAAAGAGTGGATGAATGGATAAAGCAAGAATTTCCTCCCGTTGCCTCTACTAGAGTAATGCGCCTATCAAAAATTTAAAGCCAGCCCAGAGCGGGGGAAACCGCACCAAGACCAGGTGGGTTACAGTGGAAATCGAGAACTATTTACAGCGTTTGAGCGAATCATAGGAAGTCTATTGACAAGATGATGAGCATTGTGACTAGAACGGTAACTGTAAGACGGAGACATGAGTGTTGAATTCATTATATCTATGGTATCTCTTGGTATTTGATCTTCTGGTTTGGCTCAGTTAGCATTGATGAGCCATCATGGCTGAAATATTCCTCATGATTCCTTTCCGATTTATTTCCGTTAGAAAAGATACTACTAAGTTACAGTGGATACGAATTTTGTACGTCACTCTGGTTATCAGCCCGACGTCACCAGCACCAATTGTTGATCTAGCTCGTTCCCAGGGGATCCATTGGCGGGCATCCTTGCAAGTCGATCCGAGTCTTTGCATCATTAACGCGCTTGCACATGCCAGACTCGTCTCTTTTCTATACCAACCTGACCACTCTCTGAATGCAATCGCCCCTAGGCTTTGCTCGAACATGAGAGTGTCCGCGTCAATACAATTCTCTAGAAAGACACTCCCCCTTCCGAGATGAGAGCTGGCTCCTTCATAGGCCGGCTTTTCGTCCACCCGGGCTTCCGAACATACCCAAATGTCAACGCCCATGCCAGATTAACAATCGCCAGTCTTGGTCGTCGATTCGCGTCCCAAAGCTCCCGCGGCCCTCGATTCACACAATGGCACAAAGGCGCACCGAAAAGAATAGCACTGCGTGCTTCCGGTGGTGCTGCGGCACTGGGAACGGCTGCTTTCGTTGAGCTGTCGCAACAGGAAAACGGCAATGATCAAGAGACAGGCGAGAAGCGCATGCTCGAGGTATCACGGGCCGAGGTGAAAAAGGGCGTATCAGCCGATTCCCATGGTCTTTCGAGACTCGGAGAGCGCATCAAGTACTTGATCGACCTCCTGATCATCGAGCCCGTATGCACTGGTTTCCGTTTCCTCCAGCTTGTTGTAATTTTTGTTCCGGTGATAATCACCATCCCTGCCATATACTTTGGAAAACGACAACCTGATAGAGATAACGAACGATCAGGTACGCTCTGGTGGTATGGCTTCTTGGTCAACGAGATGGAAATGGCTGGCCCAGCCTTTATCAAGCTTGGACAATGGGCTGCCTCGCGAACCGACATCTTTCCTACCGAAATGTGCGAGATCATGTCTAAACTTCACTCGAATGCGCCGGCTCACTCACTCCATGCCACGCGCGTCACGGTGGAAGCCGCTTTTGGTGGCCGCCCCTTTGAAGACATCTTCGACGAATTCCAGGAGAAGCCTCTAGGTGTTGGCGCTATCGCTCAGGTCTACAAGGCCAAGCTGAAGCCCGGTTTGGCTAAGCCAGAGGAAGCTGATCTTTATGACACATATCCTTTGGCGCAAAACGTGAAGCGCAATGTTGATACAGTGCTCAAGAGCTCCCCGCAGAGAGTACCATCGTCCTACGTTGCAGTCAAAGTGCTGCACCCATACGTCGAGAGGACGGTACGACGGGACCTTCGCATCATGGGCTTCTTCGCTTCCCTGCTCAACTTGATTCCTACGATTGAGTGGCTCTCATTGCCGGATGAGGTTGCTCAATTTGGGGAGATGATGAAGCTCCAGCTTGACCTTCGCATAGAGGCCGCAAATCTGGCCACTTTTCGGAAGAACTTCAAAGATCGATCTACAGCCTGGTTCCCATACCCGTATACTGAGTACACAACGCGGAATGTCCTTATTGAAGAATATGCCCAGGGCATCCCATTGGCAGACTTTATGGAGAACGGAGGCGGCGTCTTCCAACATGACATTGCCGATGAAGGCCTTGACGCTTTCCTCCGCATGTTGCTTCTTGACAACTTTGTCCACGCTGATTTGCATCCTGGCAACATCATGGTGCGATTCTACCAATCAGCTCACCCCGAGCTGCGTCTGAGAAAGACAATGACAAAGGCACATCCCGATGAGAAGGAAGATGTGACCGAACAAGTGCTTGAACGACTTCGACCATATCGACACCGCAAGGACCCCAAAGCGTGGGAGGCGGAGCTGGCCAAGATCGATGCTGAAGGTTTCCGACCTCAGCTCATCTTCATCGATACTGGACTCGTGACTGAACTCAATGCTGTGAACCGCGAGAACTTCCTCGACCTCTTCCGCGCAGTTGCTGAGTTTGACGGTTACAAGGCTGGTCATCTCATGTGCGAACGCTGCCGTCAACCAGATGCTGTACTCGATAAAGAAGTGTTTGCCCTAAAGATGCAACATCTGGTTCTCGGTGTCAAGAGCCGCACCTTGGCTCTCGGTAACGTCAAGATTGGCGATATCCTGCAAGAGGTGCTTAGCATGGTTCGAAACCACCATGTTCGTCTCGAGGGCGATTTCGTCAACGTCGTCATCAGTATCCTGCTTCTTGAGGGTATCGGTCGCAGTCTGAACCCGGATGTCGATCTACTCAGCAGCTCACTGCCAATTCTACGTCAACTCAGCGCCCAGAGCGGCCCAGGTATGGCAAAGCATGGCGATTTTTCCATGCTAGTGGTATGGCTGGGATTAGAAGCAAGACGATTTATGCAAGCCAGCATCGAAGACGTAAGTTGCTTGGTGTCAAACATCTTTCAAAGCCATGACATGCTAAATTTGACTACCTAGGTCGAACGATGTGTCAAGTATGACCAACTTTCCCCCAATGTATAATTATAAAGATCTTTTTTAAACTAGATTTCGCGGAGTGCAGCATCAGAAGGCGTACGGGTTGGAATGATATATACGTGAGAAATACATGAGAGACACGACTTAACAGAGACTTACTCTTAGATGTGCGTAAATTCATTGAATTATTATATAGGCTGGTCCCGTTTCTAACAATAAACCGCCGCTTTCACGTAATAATATCGTGAGTCTACATCTTTGCTTAATACCGTCTAAATTGAGGTTGTCTTGATTCACGCCTTTCTATCTTTGGGTGCCTATTGAGCACTTCCTGTACCATAGTTGCACCATAACGCCTAGATCTCTAGAATCACGAAGAAACGAAAAGGAACTCCTAATCCGTACTGGCACTCAACTCCATAGACTTGTCCCACAAGTTCCTCAGTATGGCTGCGGTACCATCTTCCTCTTCACCACCAACCAGGCTTGATCCGCTTAGCCGGTCAGTAAGCCTGCCATCGTCGTCGTTGCCGTCGTAGCTCGACGAGGCACCGTTGGTTGTCCGTACTGAGGTAGGGCGTTTCGGCGTCATCGGTCGTCGAGTATCAGGCATGCTGACGTTGCGGGTGTGTTGGCGCATAGTGAGATCCGTGGAACGCTTGCCGTTTGTCGAGGCGGTGCCAGGTCGTGGGATGCGCAATGATTTGTCCATACCGGGGAGATGGTTGAGACGCTCGAGTGAGCGAGAAATGGGGTTGAGATGTCTTCGAACAACGAGATACTCCATGCCTGTACGCTCCAAGAGCTTGCCTACACGTGGATCTCGACTGTTACCTCCGTCATATCCGGGACCACCGACGCCGATGAGTGGAGTATGACCGACTACACCTCCGACACCACCAACTGCTTGCCCGGGTTCAATCACGGAACTGGCTCGCTGCAGGTTAAGCTTCTGCTGTGTTCGCGATGTTTGAGCGGCAGGCGGCGCAGCCCGTCGGGCCGCTTTGGGCGCTAGTGCGCTATCATCAATGTCGTCTTTTGGTGCGCTTGTTGGGGGTTCTCGGCGCTCCTCACGGTCGCCTTGCAAGCTGGTCACGGAACGAGGTTTTTGAGGCGCGTCATCGTATCGGCGAAAGTCCCCCCGAGGTGGCCGGTAGAAGGATCCCTCACTAGTCAATCCAGAACCAACAGCCTCGACAAACCGGGACGTCAATTCGTCCTGATTACTTCCCGCAAGAGTTCCTGACCCTATGGCATCAGCAGAGGCTGGCGCAAAATGGCGAGGAGAGATCTGCGCCAGGTCTGCGCTCATCTGGGGCGGAGCTCCGTGGGACGGAGTGCGCTGTAATATGCGGGATGTGAGATACTCCTTGTGATGTATCGTCTGCAACTCGGGGCTTGTTGAGTTCCGCTGCTCCGGTTCGTGCTGCGGTTGCTCGGCCGGCTTTGGAGTGGCGGAATCGTTAGGTGTAACCGGTCTTGATCCGCCAGGGCGGTCGTCGGGGTGGTGCACGGAGTGGTTACTACTGTTGAGAGAGCCCTTGCGGGAGAGGTAGGGGGAATTAGAGCCACTCGCGTCGACCCATTCGTCCTCCTCGTTACCCAAGTCGAAATGAACCTGCGACTTGCCGTGAGAGATTTGAGGCTGATAAACAATTGTTGTACTTGAGGCGCGTTTCAGTTCTGCAGACCGAGTGCGCTTCCCAACTTCTGTATGCGAGCGATTGCGCTTAAGTTTTGAGTGGGAAGGACTCTTGACGATTCTCGTATGCGAGGGACTTTTGACCAGTTTCGTCTGGGAAGAACTCTGGTCGAGCTTTGTATGGGAAGAGTTCTTGGTCAGCCTCGATTGAGATGCGCTCTTGGTAAGGTTGCCAGACGAAGACTCGCGAGAAGAGAGTTTTGCGTCGCTGAGAGCTCGTCGATGAGAATTGGGACCGGAGGAAATTCGCTGCTGCTGCTGCTGCTGCTGCTGCTCGATCTGATCGGGGGTGTCGGTATGGCGACGGCTGAGCTTAGGCTGCTTCGGGGCAGTTTTTGATGCTGGGCCGCGGGCGTGGTGGAGGTGACCAACAGTGTGCTGTCGCTGGTGATGACGATGCTGTCTCCGATGCTGCTGGTGTTGGTGTTGTTGGTTAACACCGCTGCTCTCGCTCTGCGAATCACTCTCCTGATGGTTGAGCGGAGGTCGTTTTGATTGGCCGCTCAAGGACGATGCGCTGTCCGCATCTCGGGTGTGAGGCATGGTTGGTAGGGATTGGAGGTATAATACAGCAAGATAAAGGTTGCGCGCAGTTCGTTCTGGGTGATGCGATGGCAAATTGGTCGTATCGTATCTGACTGATCTCGAGCGGTAGAAATATTTTCAACTTTTCGCGACTTTTCTCCTTCGTTGTGTTTGCGACTGACTACAAATGTTATATTCCCTTTTTGGCTGTACTGATGACCAGGGTATTTAAGATCATGGGCGCTGCAGCAGCAATTGCAAATGAATACGTGACAAGGAATTAGAAAGGTTGTAGGAGATTAATTGACTCCGTGTCGTATCAAAGGTTCAGGTAGTCGTCGTCTCGGATCGCGAATGGTGGTGGTTCCGTCCCTGTTGCCGATTATGGAGCTCCCTTTTTAAGTCAGATTTGTAGGGCTCCCTTTCAGTGATGTCAATGTCAATGGATCGGCCACGAGAAGAATCGGTGAGGGTTGACAGTAGTGGAGGAGCGGAGATGGGCCGGCGATCACTATGAGTCTGGAGTCTGGGGAGAAGAAGAAGAAGATGACGAAGAAAGGGAGAGAAAATTAAAGAAGAAAAGTGCCCGGCGTTGAGCAGAAGCAACTTTTGACGTAAGGGAAGGTCTAGTAAAAAAAAAAAGTATGGACAAGGTCGGTAGGCGAGTAAGAGTAAGGTACCGTAAGGTAAGGTCTTGGTCTCGTTACTAGTATAGGCGAGCAATTCCAGACCAGACAGACCAGGCATGGCCCTAGAAGCAACGAACAATCGAGAGCCAAACAAGACCAACAAATAGAGCGGCGGAGATGAAGCTAATCTACTGCCGAGACAGAGGCTGCCAGTGCTAAGACCAGTCAACTTGACCTGAGTTGCATGAATGAATCTTTAGTATTAGGTAGGTCGGTATACTGTAGTAGGCTGTGATGGAGAGGAGGGGAACGAAAAAGAAGGCTTGCTAATAATTATCAAGATTAGGTTTGTCCACAAAAGGTTTTTAGTTTGAGCTCTGACTCTGACTCTGACACTGGCTCTGAGGTATAAGCGTGCGTGTGAGAAGTGTCTGGCTTGAACACGGCCGAACATTAAAATGAGTTGGAGCTAGTGAGCGAACGAAATAATTACTTTGATCGTGCAGCAGTAGCAGCAGCAGTGATTAGCGAGTGAACATGTTGAGGTGTGATAGTGCGAAATGCCAAGCAAGCAAGTAAGCCAACAAAAGATTAGAGAGTCATTCTATTTAGAACACGACTGAGATGAGAATGAGATCCATGAGATTCATGGTCGCAGGCCGACACGGAGCCGCAACCGGAACCGGGTTCCATGGAATATCCTTCTTTGGCAAACCGAGACCAATTACGAAGCCTTTGGTTCGCTGTGTAACTTGTCACAAAAATGAACGAACCCAGAAACAGGACATGGACTAAAAAGAGAAACATGGTTTGAGTTGAACACCACTAACTAAATCATGAATGCGTCACCTGTAATACACACTGCATTAGCTACCTACGAACCGCTCGGGGCTCGCGGAGACCTACATACACTGCTAGACGGACCCTGGCTACCTGGCCCGGCCTTTGCAGAGCTCTGCCTTTGCCTTGTTCTCTTCCGGGCCGACTTTAGGCGGCATAGCCGTGAGCGATTCACCAAGGGTAATCTTTGACGACCGTCATAGTCACTGTGTCGTTCATGGGACGAAAGGGTGATGAAACCGAACCATATGATTTGATTCTTGCTCACCAAAATCATACACTGACAACTTTGCCTACCTACCTGCGTAAGCTAAATTAGTACCTAATTGTCTCCTTTGTCTACTCGCAGAAGCAAGACCCATCACCAGACATGATAGCCCATAGAAACAAATAGTGCAGGACTTAGAAACAGGCCATCTGCCATCTGTAGATATAATTTTTTTAGAATGCTCTAAGATGTGGCTCGTCAGATTGGAAATCCTTCCTCTCTTATTCACCCTCATCTTCGAGAAGCTTTTGGCGGGGATAATCTGGGGTGACTTAAAATACTACGCACGTGACCTTTAACTCCAACTTGGACTCTTCAATCTCATCTCGTGCAGTGCATCAAGGAACCCCACGAACCAACCCATCACCACTTCGAATACATAGGCACCTATTAGAGCCCCCGATTTTTGGCATTATTCATCCCTTCCGACCTCAGAAAGAAGATTCCAGACCATGTCGTCCATCGCTGAAATCGAACAAGAGAAGAAGACGTACCAAGAACAAGTACGACCCCCATCCTATCATCCATGATATGTCATTCATACTGACCCCTTCTCTCTAGTTCGATATCGTTCTCGGTCAGCTACGCGATGACCCCGATAACGTCGAGCTCAAAGCTTTAAAGGACGAGTTGAACAGCTTCATCGATCTTCTCAATGAACAAATTGCTGAGCTCAAGCCTGCCCAGGCGCCCAAGCCCGCCCCCAGAGAACCATCACCGCCACCTCAGCCTGAGAAATGGTCTCGCGAGAACCATCCAGCCTTTAAGAAAGCAGCTCCAGTGGAGGAAGAGAAGCAGGCTCCTGCAAACTATCAGGTCAACGATACAATTCTAGCCAAGTGGGTTTCTGGTGACAAGGCTTTCTACCCAGCGCGCATTACATCTATCACTGGATCCTCAACAGACCCTATCTACACCGTCAAGTTCAAGACCTACGATAACACCGAGACCTTGCGGTCTCGCGATATTCGACCTGTGTCAAACAAGCGAAAGGCGGACGGTACGCCAACAACTTCAGCACCAGCAACACCTCCGGCCCCTGGACTGGTTTCATCAGCGGGCGCGACAGTATATCCTGAAGCGAAGAAGGCAGCCGAGCAAGATGGTGAAGTAAAGCCTCCCAAGGCCAAGAAGATCAAGGCCAAGAAGGAACTCGAGAAAAACAAGAATAAGTGGCAAGAATTCAGCGCAAAGTCCAAGTTTGGAAAGAACCAAAAGAAGGACAGCATGTTCCGTACTCCAGACGGCGTCCACGGTAGAGGTATGCATTTCTGTTCCGTGTATCCATGAATCAGACACTAACTTGTTCTCAGTTGGCTTTACAGGCTCTGGCCAGGCCATGCGAAAAGACCCCACTCGAAGCCGTCATGTCTATCAAATGAACGATGAGCTAGACTAATCACCTTTCTCTCTTGGCAGGGCACTCGATTCGATACTCAAGAGCACACAGGGGCGTTCGGGAAGTCTCAGAAGCTTATTGCTTTGTTTGGTAACATGCCTTGCATTTGATCACAGCAGAGGCTAACGACTTGTCTTTCTGGCGTTTAATCCAGTTCTTCCTTTTCAGACTCAAGTATATAGGAGCGACGCGGTCTATGTTTATAGACTAGCCGGTGTTAATCAAATGATGTTACATGAGCACACAACACCTCTCCCCCTCGGCTTTGGGTGTTTTACTAAGTTGGGCTGGCAGGAATCGTTATTGTACAAGTTGCCTGGCAGCCTAGTAGAAGTTCGGCGACTATTTACCACTAAGATCGATCTTGGGGCAGATGTCTTGTGCTATCTTCAAAAAGGCACCCGCCCTCTCACTCGTAGGTTCTGCCACTACTGTGGGTTTTCCTCTGTCCCCATCATCTCCAATATTGGGATGTAATGGGATGTCACCTAGAAAATCGATCTGGTGCTCTTGACATAACTTCTCAACCCTTGCATTGGAACCAAAGATATTGGTTTCTCCGTGGCAATGAGGGCATGTGAACAAGGACATGTTCTGTACCAAGCCAAGGATATTGACATCAACTGTTTTGAACATGTTGATACCTTTGACAGCATCTTTGGTGGCAAGAGTATGAGGAGTTGTGACGATGACAGAGCCTAGTGGTTGTTAGTAGAAACAAACGTGACATGTCATAGAAACGCACCATCTAAAATAACCTGCTGTGTTATGGTCAACTGTGTATCTCCTGTACCTGGGGGGAGGTCTAGGACAAGAACATCAAGACCACCCCATTCTACCTCATGTAGAAGCTGCTGAATAGCCTTCATCACCATGGGGCCTCGCCAAACTACTGGTGCATTCTCGCCAACCAGATAGCCCATGGACATGGTCTTGACTCCATAGTTTGTGAGAGGGATGAGCTGATTATCTTTGTAATGTCAGTCCATGCTCAGAAGGCGTTATGAGCTCCAGTGACTGACTAGTCGATAACCTTGGTTCTCCTGAGAGGTCAAACAAGGTTGGAATAGATGGACCAAAGATATCAGTGTCCAGGATCCCAGCACGAAAGCCAAGACGAGCAAAAGCCAGAGACAGATTTGCTAGTCGCCTTTGTTAGAAAATCTCAGGTCTCGGGAGACATCTATAGATACCTGCAACTGTGCTTTTGCCTACACCACCTTTGGCTGAAGATACTGCAATGACTTTCTCGACACCGATGATTTTGCGACGGACTGGACGTTTACCCCAGGTCGGCGGCGTTCCTGACCGAGGGAGACCCTGGAATATTATCAGTCATACTCTAACCTGATGGTACTCAGCACTGAAGAAAATTACTCACTAATGGATTTTCATGTTGCAGCGCCCGGAAGCACTGAAAGAGTCGGGCAGATGTTGGACGCATACTGAGAGTATTTATGGCCTTAGATGGGATATAACTAAGAGCCTCGGCGTCCTAAGATTGAACTCCTCAGTTCGAAGTGATAGGGAGTGTTTTTATGTCTATAGTGTCTAAACAAGTAACATATTGAATTGTCTACTCATAGAATGTCAAGGATATACGAGTGAACCACATAAGGTGTCATATGGAATCCATCGACGCTGGGAGTTTGAGCTAGCGGACTGCCTAATACGGGGCTCACTCCACTAACACTAAGTTGCGACGATTCTGCCAACTGCCACCGCCTAAAAGTTCAAGGCCATTCCTCAGAAAATTTCCAACGTGGGGGCTTCTGTTTGTTTGTTAGTGGAAGACTTGACAATTGAACCATTAAAATGGCCAAAGCAAAGGGCCGCGCAAAGCAGTTTCAAGACTTGGACGAGCCTATCGCCAAGGGTAAGTTACTACACTGCCATATAACCTATAGTTCCTAATCATCAAAAGACTACGACCCCGAGGCCAATGTCGAAGTTAGTGAGGATGGCAGCGGTAGCGAAGAGAGCGAGGACGAGAACGCGGGTACTGAGCACTATGTTTCTGTCGGAAAGAGTAAATTGAGGAAACAGGATGGTCTGTCACTCGGTCCCCAGTACCGAGGCTCTCGAGTTTCGCGAGATGCGCTTGAAGAAGAGAGCGAGTCCGAAGACGAAAATGAGGACGAGGAGTCGGGCGATGAGGAATTCGACGACCCTGAGACCGCAGATCTAGCACGCGACGAGGCTGAGGCCAACGACTCAGAAATCGAGAGCGACGACGCCCTTGGCGAAAGCGACGAGGAGCGCTTCAAGGAGTTTACTTTCCGAGGAAGCTCGAAGCCCAAAAAGCCCGTTAACAAGCGAGCTACTGCTGCTGACTACATGTCTTCTTCCGATGAAGGTGGCGCTGATGTTGGCGAAGATGAGGATGACGAATCCGAGTCAGATGAGGACGACATGGACGATGGCCTTGACGCTCTGGTCGATGGCGAGGAAGGCTCCGACGATGAGTCGGATGAGAATGGTGATGAGGAGGGCTCGGGAGAAGAGGAGGAGGAAGAGGACGACGATGATGGCAGTGAAAGTGATGAGGAAGAATCAGAGGCGAAGGCTAAGAATGCAAAACCCATGATGGCAGCCCTATCAACCCGACCCGATGTTGACAAGGGTTTGGCAATCCGTCAGCAGCGCAAGGCCTATGACGGGCTCCTTAATATTCGAATTCGCCTACAGAAAGCCCTCATTGCTGCCAACACCTTTGATACCCTCGACGCCAACCCCGAGCCCGAATCGGAGCCCTACGAGGCGGCTGAAGAGGCAGCAATCAAGCTCCTCAACACCATCAGCAGCCTTAAGGATAACTTTGGACCATCTCGAGCTGGTGAAAAGCGCAAACGTGAACTAGATGTGTCTATGGCCACAAGCGAGATCTGGGAGCAATTGCAAGCGGAGGAACAACGATCTATCAAATCTAGGGAGGATCGCCTTGAGAAGTGGTCTCGCAAGGTGCAGTCTGTTAATATCACAGCACCCAAGGGGCTCGAGTCGCGAAACAAGACTCTTGTCAGTGCCCTCAAGGAGCAGCTCCTTGACCCCGATAACCGTCTTGCCAAGCGCTCTCGCGTTCCTCGTTCATGTGCCCCTGCGCAAGCAGCCAAGGGTGCATCGGAGGACAGCAACATCTATGACGACGCCGACTTCTACCAGGTTCTCTTGAAGGAGCTTGTGGACCAGCGCACAGTGGAGGGTTCATCGGGAGCTGGAGCTGGAGCTGCCGTCCCCACGGTCGTCCTCACAGCAGCCAAAGATGTCAAGTCACGAAAGAATGTTGACCGCAAGGCCAGCAAGGGCCGCAAGATGCGCTTCACGGTTCACGAGAAGCTGCAGAACTTCATGGCACCTGAGGACCGACGTGCGTGGGAGCAGGGTGCTATTGACCGCTTCTTCGGCACGCTCTTCGGCCGCAAGATGGAGCTGAACGAAGACGAGAGCGAGGATGACATGGATGTTGATGTTGAGGAGGCAGGACTCCGGCTGTTTAGAAACTAAACGGGGACGGACATATGAAAAAAGTTGTAATTGTAGATGTCATAGACTGTTGCTTAAGCATTACCAAAATACCAGGTACAAAGAAACATGGTCATCAAAACAATGTGAACTCCTAGGTGCACCAGTGGTCCCCCCAAAGTCTTGGTTGTTGAAGCTTCCTCCTCCTCTGTATAGCCATTTATTCGCATATATGCTCGATAAGTAGGCCATAAATGCCAGAAGGAAAAGGCGAGCGCAGCTTGACGAGTTGCGTCATCAAACGGACGCCGGATAAAGATGAGAGCAATGAGGTTACTCGTAAGAAGAAGGCCACCGAATGACTGAAGAATCAGAGCGGCCGGTGGAGGAAGCGGTTGAAGTTGTGATGAGGGTTTCAGGATGAAGGTCAAGGCAGCCGGGGTCTCAATGAGAGCGTGGATGAGGAAGGGGACCGTTGCTGTGAGCAGCATGATGATGATGATCCGATACTGGAGTGGTCAAGTTATCAGACGTCAACGATAAGGAAGAGGAGTGGAATCTAGACAACGTTGCGATTTCCAAGATGAGATATATGTGTTACAGGTCCTGGCTTACTAAGCTACGGATTTGCTGACCATACCCACGGCCAAGACAAGGATGAGTGAGGTTATACCATCGATGCGCTGAGCCCGAACTTTTCATGAAACCGTAGTAAGTTATGTAGTAGGTTTGTCCAATTTATCTCGAGGTTGTTGCACAGTTGCCAGATGTGCTTCTAGCGTATCCCAACCATAACGGCCTACAAAACAAACAACTCAATTGCCTGGACACAGAACCTCAAATCTTCATTATCAAATAGTACATTACTAACTCAATTCGTATCTCCATTTTGAGCGCCATATTACGCCACCAGATATATCCAAGACTATCTGAAAGTCAGTGTACAGGAGGGGATATCATATCTAAATACTAGCAATATACAAAATACTTAGCTAAGCATGCTTGGCTAATACATCTCCTTGAACTGAGGAAAGACAGTGCCATCGACTCCAAACATGCCGCCGTTGGACGCTTCGGAAACCTCGGCATTCGGCCCCTGCTGTCCCTCATTATCGTTATATTGGAATCCATTCAACCCTACATAGCCCTCGAACATTCGTGACATCTCGGCTTGAATTCGTGATCCGTTCTGAGCCATTGAGTCTGGGGTGGCGGCTTGTGATTGCTGACCAGGAATAGATGGCTTGCGGAACGGCTGCTGTTGTTCCATATGGCCTCGAGCAAGCCCTATCATGCCCAACGCTGCTGTTGACTGGGGGTCGTCCTCAGCATTAAGTCCGAATCGCGGTGCCACGTCTTTGAGTGATCTTATTGTCCGCCAAAGTCGCTGCGATGCCCAGCTCTTGGCGGATAGATCCTTCACCAGCTCGAGAGCCATATAAAACTCCTCACGGCAGGAAGCGCTGAAGCGGACCGGGGCATGAACGGATGCGAGGAAGACGACCGCAATCGCTGATGTGAGGAATTGATGGTAGAAAACCTGTACACGTCTGTATAAATTGGTTGTGTTGTTCAGGTGGCTAAGGTATCGGATAGTGTCTTTGGCGATGTCAACTACACGTTCTGATTGTGCAGGATGCGCCATGATGCTTGTAGCGCTATGCAACACAGGCGTGTAAAGCCAGATCCGCATCTGCATATTGTTAGCCTATACCGACTGAGTCTCGAGAACAACACTTACTTGATTCAGGCGTAAATATGTCCAGATTCGTAGGCGTTGTAAATTATAAGACGGAGTTGACGTTATATGCTTCTCCTTGTCCCAGTTACGAACCTTGACCTCTTCGGGAATCTGTTCATACCACTGTAACAACTCCTGGTCGACATTCTCCAGTTCCGCCGAGCGCAAATCGCGTGCCAGAACCGGTCCAAAATGAGCTACTTGTCGCCACACCGTTGCACCTATTCTCGAATAGGTGATCATGGCCACAAGATAAGGATATTCCTCCTTAAAAATTTGTTAGTTAAGACTGGGGCTCTGGGTTTATCAAATACTAACTGGAAATGGCAGTTCTGAATCGATTTCTTCATCTTGAACGACGAAAGGTAGCCCAGTTGCGAAAGCCCATCGCCTATCTAGCACATATGCCGACCAGAAGCTGACGAGAGCATTCTTACGTTCTTCTTCATCCTGAATCCTCATCAGGCCTGTTCTTTGATGAATGCCAAGCTCTAGACATAATCGTGCGACATGACCCATGACTCGCCAAGCCAATACTTCATCGTTGGAGAGAAATCTATACCCAGCAACAAGAGCCAGGATTGGTAGGGTTGCAACATCCGCAGCCTCAGCCATGAGCTTCCGGTTGAGCACCGTTTCCATGCTCTCAAACAAGCGAATGGCTTTATCGCTATGCCCATGCTCTTCTACCACTAGAGCACAGCACATGATGATTTTGAGCTGTAGAGTCTTGTCGTCGTTGACAAGTTCTCTGGGGCTTTGTTGTCGTAGGGTTTCGAGAAATGTGGCCATGTTTTTGGCATGGGTTATCACGGTTTGAATGTTGAGCACTGGGTACATGATACCGATCTCTTCCTCGTGCAGACGACACAGGCGAATCATTTCGTCCTTGTCGAATTCGTGGAGGGGATCCCTTGGTCGCGTCGACATGGGGCCCAAGCCATCATTCAGGTGTGGATTTTCCTCGTCTGATATGCCTTTGTAACCCATGTTGTTGATAGTATTATTGGCAACGTCGAGACTGAAGGCCATACTTGTTGGGCCCCGGAAAGAACCGTATTTCGAGATGTCCTGTCGGTTAAGTGAAGTAGAGCTATGAGAAGGTGAAGGGGCGACTGCCGGCGTGCCGTGGCCGTGGGTCATTGTCCGGTCACCGAGTGAGGAATATCGGGCAGGTTCGGACTGAAGGGCCTTGACGGTTTGGTGAAGCCAGCCGACTTCTTCTTGAAGGCGGCCTAGTTGTGATGTGACCTGCTTGAACTCGTCGGACTCCTTAAAGTTGCCGGAGCAGCAGTTCGGGGCATATAGACAGGCCAAGTTGAGGTTGCCGCATCGTTGGCAGGGAGTTTCGCCATTACATTTTATCTTTCGTCTCTTGCATTCATTGCTATGTGTTGTTAGCATATGCGCTCGTTAGGAGCCAAGATAATGCAGTGTTATACTACGCGGTCGCGGCGAAGATGAACACATTCAATGGCGGAAGCATACTGACCAAGCTATTGATATGTACTGTCATGGTGAAGAATGCAACGTTAGCCTGAGTGATCTTCAAGTATAGTGACCCGGGGAGTGGCATGAGAATGAGTGGGATCAAAGGGCTGAAACATGAGTGGGTTCGGATTGCCGACCCAGCCGTCTGGGTTCGTTTATGTTGTGCAACAAGGAGGCCGAGATGTTTGATGTCCGAAGACTCGAAGGACTCGATAGGCGAGTATCGTGCACTCTTGTGTAGCCCTCTCAAGAACGGACCCCTCTATGGCCGTCACGAAGTGCGTCCCTATCCTTGAAAGATGCCTCACCTCATCTCATCCTTGTCTCATGTGATCTCATATCATAATGGCCCAGGGGTTGATAGTAGATGTAACGAGATGGTCAGAACTCACTCTGTTTCTTTTACTTCTTGTTTGCTTTGATCCATTGCCTTGACCATCGTCTGTCGACTTCCTCTTATTGGCATTGGACGCGCTCGCACCGTGAGCGGAATTGTCGCCGACAGAGGCGGAACTTGGACTGGCATGATTCTCGTAAGCAATAGGAGCACCCGTAGAGGCTCCCACGGCGCTCCCGGGGGTACGGGCTGGAGTCCCGCCTCGCCCGGCGCCGGAGCCGGGGCCGAGAGACGGGCTCGAGGTTGGATTCAATACAGGAACTTGGGCAAGGAACCGAAGGTCGCTTGCTTGTGTCTCAATCTGCTCCATTGTGCCGAAATGGCCATCGACTGTGGCGGAGTCGTCGGAAAGGTGAGAGTGAGAGAGCGATTGATGAGACAATATCTGATGATGAAGAGCGTGAGGGTGAGTGTAGGGTGAATTTGGCTGCGATTGAGGGTGAATGTGATGATGAGGGTGGTGGTGAGGGCGAGGGTGATTGTGAGCGCGAACTGCTAGAGGTGACGCGAATTGTGCATGCGTAAAAGGTATTATCACTGGACTTCCAGTTGGGTCATGGTCGGGGGCCACTAGGTCGGTAGCAGTATGGGCAACAGGGCCCGGGCGCTGAGAACTGCGCCTACGCCAACGCCAGGTGCCACCATGACCGTCGTCCCCGGGTATGCTCTGGTTGCCAGGATCTAGCGGTATACCCACGTGACCCGGATATTCTGAAGTGATAGGAGCGGAATGAACGGCCCTGCCGCCGTGGAAATCATCGGCTTCAATCGCTTGGTGCCGCTGAATAACACCTCCATCCATCTCCATCTCCATCTCCATCTCCCCCTCAGCATCCCCCACACCGAAGACGTGATAATAGCCCTCCAGCCTTGCTTCCCTTCAGTAATCACCTGAAAACTGAACCGTTGTCTATTCTCTCCCGTGCGCGCAACGCTAAGAAAGAGCAATGCCGGGAAAGGGAATTCCAACCGGATCCAACCAGGAGCGTCCCTCTTAGAACTGTCGGATCCGCATGGACTGACCCAGAGTCTCGGAGCCGAAACCTAATCAAATTGCGTCCCGTTCACAGGGGTAATTTCGATTGGGCAACAATTCCAATGAGGCCGGTGCTCTAGATCTAAGAGTCCTGTGCTCCTGTGCTGGCCTGTCGTTGCAGATTCCTCAGTAACGATTGAGTGTCTGTTGTGAGGATATCCGTATTGGTGTCGTCTCGGTATCCATACAGTTGAAAGCTGGCGGTCGCAGCAACAACCCAATATGATAATGACGGAGAACAATTGTCGAATCTCCCGGGTCTGCCAGGAGATGTTGAGCTCGGATTTCGATGACAGCTCTTCGATCTCTCGTTTACTGGCAATTCTTCTTTCGTCGTGATATGCGATACTTCTTTAACATAATCGTTGATGGGGATCTCGCTCAACTTAAACAACTATACCGGCTGTTGAATACTCAACGGCGAACTCTACACAGCGCTCACCTCCCTTGCTCTCTGCCTTACCTGTGGAGATTGACCACCGCTCTAGCTTCCTTTGGACATTGTCCTCTTATCACGCCGCACGCCTAGCTTCATAGTCACAGTTTGGATGCCCTCTTGGCGGAGACTCCTCACCTGCACGCCGTCAAGTTACTCAAGGGGCATACAACCCACCCTACCTAGTTACCTGACAAGGCCCTGACCAGACGTCAACTAGGCGGCTAGGCCTATGCCTATGTAGCGTGGCCCTGATCCGAACCGTCCGGTATCGCACACGTTCCACGCCTTACGCTCAGAATACTCTTCTGGGCCATGGCACGCATCACAAAAGTTTCAAGGATGGAGAGACATTAGTAACTCCTCTTGGCCATCCTAGATCTTGAGTCAGAACTTGTAGATTATAAACGAAGGTTTCTCTCTCATGGCGTCTAGGAGCTACCCATCGACAGCCACAAGTATAAAAGCTTCGGTTCTCGAATTTGGGCTCAAGCCTCTTCCCCACGGCCGGGTCAGCAACCCCCGTCTTGCGCGCCGTGCACAAGAGCTTAAACCCCCGATACGTGCTTCACTTCTCATACGACCGCAAATCGAGCTCGTATCATGTAGATATTACATAGCAGGTGTACCTTCATCAACTATCTGCGGCAAACTTCATTAACTACCATGCTAGTGTGGGTGGGGCCTCCGTCAAACCTGCAAGCCACAGGGTGCTTCATATCGAGACGAGTTCCTGTTTCGGGACGCCCTCGTCTTTGAATCTCTTCCGATTGGGCTCGCTATTGTTTCGTCAGCCGGTGGCTGTCAAAATGCCTTGGAACTCGTGGGATGACCCTGTCTAGTCAAGCTTTTTGTCTCCTGAGGCCCCAGCCATCCCTACAGCATATCCAGCATAGAAGCATGTTTCAAAGATGAGGACTCGGAAGTCTTTAGCCCTGTCGATGCCACGAGGTTGAGGATCGTTTCGCCCACTTTGTTAGTAAGTCCAAGCTGAAAGAAAATACGGGGCAAGAATCCACTTGATGAGTCGTCATTGCTCAAGCGCTGTAAGTTGGCGCGGCAAGTTCCTTGTTCATCCTCGTGAGTTGACATCTTGGCGACAGCTAATCCACTTCGAGGCTGTTTCTCGCGGATGTCACCTCAACTATGTGCTGATCTTTTAACCGACCACATGGCATAGCGTTCAGTGTCAAAACTGGCGGCGCTTTTGTCAGTCTCGGATTTCGGGAAAGGATTAAACTACGCGACAAGGCTCTTGTGATCAGATCAAAATGCTGGAGAAACACCCCCTGCCTAGTACCGGTACATGAGCATATCTTGTACCGGGAGCTCCACTAGCCTCGGTACGCAGAGCGTGAACTTTGAAGAAGATGATGCCCCTTGGTTGAACTATATCTCAGCTCCAGGACGACGAGTTTGGGCACTCTTCGCTACGTCAGAGTGGCTCGATATCTGAGCGCTCATGTGTCAAAAGAAGAGAAAAAGAAGAAGAAAATATTATCAATCCGGCATCTCGACTCAAGTGACCAGGGTCAGCTCTTTGGCTGGTAATTATCTTTGATTAGAAAGCCATTTTAGGGGCCTTCTCATTAGTCTTTGATGCGTCTGTCTGATCTGTCATTTACGCCTTTCTAACGTCCTATGGGATAGGACCCCTCTTTGTTTTCCCCTTACATGCAACTAACGCTTCTTGACCCCAGTCTATACTACTGCGGTTGGCGTCAAAGTCAGGGCGGGACAAGCATTAAGAGTCATCAAGCGAATTTATTGATGAAAGCCCAATTTCTTCTGCAGTTAGGCGTATCAGGGCTGTCGTCATCGTATTTGAGGCCAATGAGCAGAAAACATTGCTCCGCCGGGTAATAACCCATCAGTCGAGACTGTCCAGTCACTGAACAAGCAAATACACAATGGGTAACGAGGATATCTGGATATGTTGACGAGTTCGCCGATCTTCATTCCTGATTTGATCAACACACCATGCGTTGGTTGTTTTAACAAGGCGCGCTTCACATTCAGCTATCATGCAGGAACAAGAACGGACCGCTCTCTCAAACCGGCAATGTATTCGGCAAAGTCTGAGGCTTGGCAACGGTTTTCTTTATATTCGGAAGAGACAAAGTTAACTTCCCATCTTAGTGTCATGTCTCTGCTAGGCACACTTGCTTACAGACGATCTTGCAGGTAACGCAATAGGAGAAAATTTCCGTTGCACTTCTCAGACCGCCACAATCCCCATGGCCTGCTCGGAACGAGGTCGTGACGACTGGTGGCATAGTTATTATGGTTCGAGCTATCCGCACTTAATAATTCTATGTAAAACCGAAAGCGAGTTGGGGGTGACAATGTTAGGACACACCCCTTGCAGCAGATGTTCAAGTGTACATAATTTCATTACCTCTACTCCTTTGTGGCTTGCTTCTCACTACTGTCAAGTAACGCCCTCGAACTGGATGATAATGAACCTTGTTCCACGACTCCATGCTAATCTAGATCTAGATGCTCCAACGATTCGGCCACAAACAACGCATACTGATCTGGCGACTCGGCCGGATCTCCGCTGGACTCACGGCCCCACTCACCATCTCCGTCCCCGATTTCACTCGGCTCAGTCTCCGTTTCAGCCGGTGTCTCTGGTGGAGTCTGTAGGCCAGGCAGGCCCGCACCATAAGACGTGTTCCGCTTCAACATGCACATTTCAACTGTGATACCAGGACCGAAAGCACAACCAACGACATAGTCACGGACTCGTCCGTCAGGCGCCATGGCATCCATATCTCTCGAACGTAGGCGATCCATGACACTGAAGATGGTAGCCGAACTTGAGTTGCCATGATTGATGTATGTGTCATAACTTGCCCTTTGGTGTTCTGGTGTGATATCCATGGCCCTCTCAGCGCCTGAAAGGATGGTAGCGCCGCCAGGGTGCATTGCCCAGTCGAAGTCAGCTGCTTTCTGGTAGTCTGGAGGGAGTTGGGGCAGAGATGCCTTGAGGTCGTTGAAAGCTGGGCCAATTGAGGCAGCAGTGAGCTTGGGGACACGAGGTGTGAGAACAACCTTCCAGCCTATCATTATGTCAGTTTCGGGCTTAGGAGAAAGATTGTGGAGATATTGAAGCTTACCGACTGGGTCAACATCAAACCCCAAGTCATCCTCAGTATCTGGTATGGTCCTGTGGTCCCAGCCGAGGAGGTCATATACTGGTTCAGAAGGTTCACCGATACCGTTGCTTAACACAGCGGCACTACCGCAGTCCGAAAACAGGCATGCGCCTATTCTTGTCTGCTGTAGCTCGTTGATGCTATCTAGCTCACTACGTACCATAGTGGTGCTGACCTCAAGTGCCACACATAGGACGCGCGCGGGCAGACCGCGTGCTTTATGACCAAGAGCTAGGTTCGCGCCTGTTCGGAGAGTTGCTAGTCCGCCGCTGCAACCAACACCGTGAAGCAAGACTTTCTCTACACCATGCGATATGCCCAGACCTTTTGCGACAAAGTGGTCGAAGCCCGGGTTTGCACTGTCTGTACATGTTGTGGCGACTATGTGGGTAATGAATCTTGTATCAATCTTGGCCTCATCAATGGCCTTTCGAGCGGCTCGAATCGCAAGAGGAACACCATCGGAGAGGAACAGGGAGTGGAGCTCTGCTATTGAGGGCGCATCTTTCTTGTTAACAGCTGGGTGGTCGGGTGTTCCAATGGACGACCGGGTGTCAATTCCGGTATATCTGTTGATTCCGAGGACTTTTTGCATACTATCATGACCTATTAGCCACTGAGGGAGGCATGTTGGGGCTGGTAGGACTCACGAAGGTGTATCGGGATAGAACTTGTCACTAAGGGTGTTGAGGCAAGTATAATCTAGGGAATATGGTGGATATTCGGCGCCGATACCGATGATGGAGAGACCCAGCTCTCCAAATGTGCCTGGAGCTGACATGACTGATATAATGAAGGTATTTGTCGTCAGAGGCGGCTGGCGCTTATATCCCCAACACTTTGTGAGGTGGAGGGGAATAGGATAAATAAGCTGCAGAAAAGCGTGTAGCGGTTAATTTAGTATGCTTGAATGGAAGATTGATATCAGGCACATTCAATTGAGGTCGCTACAGAGGAACAGAATGTCGTTGACGTGTTCAATCGCCAATATCTGTTATCTCGTTTGGCCGCGTGAGCTTAGTCGATGACGCTATCTTGATGCCAGGGCTAGGGGAGCTGCAGGTTTAGATGCAGGGGTTGGATAGATGATTGGGGGGTTACGCGGGAAAATGGTACTGATGATGGTGAGAGGGGAGAATAATAGAGGACAGAACAAGTTGTTGTGGGAAGAGGAAATTGTTTATGCAGTTGTGACACCAAAATGCAGCCAAGGTACCTCCTTGGATGTCACAGTAATGTCTCAAATATGGTTTGGAGGGGCTGCCCAAGCGAAGGGGACGTTGAGGATATGCCGAGATGAATGAAAAGTCACTGGATGATATGAGCTTCTTCTTCTGTTCAAGTGATAATTTAACAAGGTTCTCACTTGTCTTTTCTGGGATACGTCGATATTTATAAGCGTTGACTGTTTCTCAAGACGGAGAAAAGTGGTGACTAGTAGTTAATGATGGATTGCCTGTGATAACTTCAACCATCTTTGTTCATGAAACGATCGCTGAAACCTCGTTGGTTCATGCTTCTCTGAGTAAACGTCATGCCTCGGTTAAGGTGTACGTAAATGAGACCGACGGATAGAATCACGTTCCGACTGTGAAAGTATTGGGATATCTTGAACATACATATTGGTTAACGTTAGGTTAGGTCGGGTTACTAGAGTGGTCGTCCATCGCATTTCTCGTGACGAATACGAGGGAGCGAAAACACAGCCCTCTTTGCTTACACTGCATGCGAATACGTCCAAATCTCAACACCAACGTAAATCTAAATCTTTGATAGAAATATCACCCAAGGCATATTCCCTGGTGAATATTATGCTTAGCTTCACGGTTTGTGGTTGACCGTGGATTCAAGGTTACATCATGATATCGCATGTGGAATGAGACAACTTCAACCTTGCAACCCATAGTCACAGTCAAGACGACAATGCATTATCTCAGCTTCGTCTTAGAACAGCCTATTGTTCTATCAGCAACACTCCTTTTATTTCTCTATGTATTGGGAAAGAAATCACCAAAGCCCACGCGCAATGGCAAACCTCTCAGGTTGGTATTTACCCAATCTCACATACCCTATGCTCACTCATTATGCCACTTTGCTGAATGTGTGTACCTAACAGTCAACCAGAAAACCTCCAAACTCACTGCCACTGGTAGGGAATGGCATCATATTCCTTCAGCCTCGCCAACATCTTTTTTCCTGGTTCCACCGCTGTGAGCGCCTGTATGGTTACGAGACTCTCCATATCACTGTTCCTACTCTCCCGCCAGGTGTCATTGTCAACAGCCCCCAGAACCTAGAGTTCATCTTCCGCCATGAGGGAATCTTTGAAAAGGGAGACTTCTTCAAACAGCGATCTTGGGACTTATTCGGCCATGGCATCATCAACGTGGACGGCGAGTTCTGGCGTCTGCAGCGCAAGGCTGGTCTACGGTTCCTCTCAGCAGCTGCCTTGAAGACTCTGACGAGTGACCGATTACCAGAGTACCTAGAACAAGCCATCCGCGTCCTCAAGGGAAAAGAAGCTGGGAGAGATGTAGTGGACTTACAGGCCGTGATCCACGAAGTGACGACGCAGCTGATGGGACGAATGGCATACAACATGGAGATGCACGCTGACGATAATTTTACCGTTGCTTTTGAGCATGCCTCAGGGGCCACAGCCGAAAGGTTCCAGAATCCACTATGGTTTATGACAGAAATGTTCTTTGGAACTCGAATGCGACGTTCTATCCGAACTGTCAAGGCCTATGGGCAGCGGATCGTCAAGAGTGCAGTGGCTGATCGCGAAGAAATGGAGGGAAAGACTCAGTCCGATGCGCCAGGAAGTCTCATTCAGTCTTTATTGGATGCAATTGGCGACGACGATCTTGTAGCAGATGCTGCACTGAACTATCTTTCGGCAGGGAGAGATACCGTTGCTCAGGCACTTACGTGGACGCTATATTTACTCATGAAGCACCCCGAAGTGACCAGCAAGCTATGCCAGTCGATCCAAGACCTACGAGATGAAATCAGAGACCAAGATCACTCTGAGAACGACCCCGATCTTCTAACCCCGGTACGACTCCCCTACGTGCTAGCAGTCTTCTACGAAACCCTCCGCCTTCGACCTCCCATCCCCTTCGAGATCAAACAAGCTCAACAAGAAACAATCCTTCCCGACGGAACATTCCTCCCAAAAGGTGCTGTCGTGCTATGGTGTGCTTGGGCAATGGGCCGCTCTCACACAACTTGGGGTCCTGATGCAGATGAGTTTCGCCCAGAGCGATGGCTAACTACGTCTCCATCTGGTGATGTGACAGTCATGCAGCGTTCAGCAGCTGAGTTTCCTGTCTTCAATGGTGGACCTCGGGTGTGTCTAGGGAAGAAAATGGCAGAGTTGGTTGCTGTACAGACATTGGCTAGGTTGGTACCTCTATTTGACTTCAGACCTGCTTTCGTAGGCGAGAGAGTGAGCAAGAGTAGTTTGACTCTTCCGATGGAGGGTGGTTTGCTGGTGTATGTGCATGCTCGAACGACCTCCGACATATTGTAGAGAATATCCTCTAAGAAACAAACTTTTATTACCCCTGGTATCGCTATATATAGAGTACGCCTAGTCAAATGTAATCTTGGATCCTGCAAATGCCGCTGTCTTCTCTGCATCTTTCGCTTGCTTCCTGGCTGCCCAGCTAGGATGCAATGGTCCCTCATCATCCTTCTTTGGAGGCGGCCTCTTCACCTCGGGCTTGCTCTCCGCTCCCTCACTACCGCCTTGCCTGGCCGCAAGAGGATTGCGAATGCCCTTCTTCCAGGGCGTTCGCGGCCCATCTCCTGGCTCCACAGCACCACGCTTACCATCCCATCCAGAATCACGCCCGCGTTGTGTTTCCCAAGCAGGCTTTTGTAAGTGCTTTGCCTTGTTACCGAATTTCTTCTCCCAAATTGCCTGGCGGGCTCGTTGGCCGCGACGTTTCTTTGCTGGGGCAACATCAACGTCGGAGGCGGACTCAGAACCTGAGATGTAACCACCCATGAGTGTGGGTAGGAAGGTCGATTCACGAGGACGAGCGGGTGCTGATGCCTTGTCCTTGCTCTTTTTCTTCTTGGCTGGAGGTGGCGAGGGCGAAGCTGAGACAGAAAGCTCTTCATCATCATCATCATCTTCTTCTTCTTCTTCATCTTCTGATTCGGAACCGAGCTCTGGTGCGGCGTCTGAGCTAGAAACGGATATGTCGTCTAGATTGACCTTCTCTTTGCCCTTGAAGCGCTCGAATCTCTCGTCGTCGAAATCGTCTTCGTCTTCAGAATCGGAAGAGCCGCCCAGCAAGTGATCATACTTGGACATAGACTTCTCTTCGTTCGCTTCATCTTCACTGTCAAGCTCTTCAGGCTCCTGAACAGGATCATCATGATCTGAGAATCCCTCGAATTCCGACTCTTCCACTTCAACCTCAGCCTCATTCTCAATTGACACTCGCACGTCTTCCTTGGCAGCTGTAGCCTCAGGCTTGGGCTCCCCTTCTATCCTATCGGGCGGTTGCTCCTCTTTCTCTTCCTTCTTGGACTTTCGTACGCGTTTCGCCTTTCCGGGTAGAGGGACGTCGAGGGCCTGGCAGAAGGTGGTGATGGCGCGGGTGATGGCCTGTTTGACGAGTTCACGATTATATAGTGCACTGGTAACATTGTGTAGCGCAGCCTGTTCTTCGGGAGTAAGCTCGGGTTTGGGAACGCCGGTGCGAACCTCTTCGGGGAGGTCGGTCGATGCAGCAAGGTCTTTGACTTTGAGGATCGACGAGTAGAGGTGAGCGCGCGCTGTTTGGTGAAGATCAAGAGACTAGACAATTCTGGTTAGAGGACTATTGATCGAGACCCTGTGCCTTGTGAAGACTCACCTTCAAGACCGTCACCTCTCGTTCCAATCTTTCCTTCTTATCAGGCTCAACTCCATCTTCATGAAGTCTTTTACTGTATCGCTGGCGCTCTAGGCCCTTTGCAGCCTTGAGTGCCTTGGAGACATCATTACAGTGCTTTTCAAGCTTATCCCCAAGATTGGGCTCCCCGCGCTTTCGTTTTGGCATTGTCTGACCTTTTTATGTTGTTGGAAAACCGCTTCCGCAGTGTCGCAAAAAAGTTCTATATCGGAGCCGCAACGAAACTTCCATTAGTGCGATAGATAACGCGATTACTGTGCATAGACGCAAAAGTTTGCGGACGTATCACAGTGCGAATTGGGGCACCGGGGGATGGTGGGGATTTCGACATTGAACCGATTTGTATGCGGGGGATGCGGCACCGATTATTAATTATCCATGTCCATTATAACTTTGATGGAGCTAGTATCGGATTGTGCATATAAAGAAGCTTGATAGAAGTTTATAACTATTCTTGATGACGGGATGGGTTGGTCTAAGCAACACTACCTACTAAGTACCTGTACTGTAACGTACCTACGTGTAAGTGATCTGAAAGGGAGATTACCTACCAGTAGATTCTGCGGCGAAGTCAGCATACTAATATAATCTTTCACAAATATATCCTGTTTGAGCCTCAGACAGCTTTGGTTCTTACTCGTGGTTCATCTTCCACTCCCTCGGACTTGGGCCGAGTATAATTCAGTAAGAGCAATAATGATCCTCGTCTTGATATCGTGGTATTCTCATCCTAACACGTCATCCGGGTTCTATGTCAATGGTATACCCGCGGTATTGTTCGGTTATGATGTTTCAAGGAACTTGTTGATCCTACCCAACTATGTGGCTGGCTAACCGCCAAGCGGTGTATGTAATGTCCATTTGAAAAGCACGATACAAGTCGAGCGAGACGAGCCTTTGTCACCATAACCTCGGATATACCACACAAAATGCTTCGCCTCAAAACGCCTACACACTACCAATTGGACCCTGAACAGAGGTTTTGAGACTGGGCGTGAATTAAGTAATGCCATGCCGCTCGAAACCCTGTTCTCAGGAGGACCTTGCGTAATGACGAGGCAATTCGGAGCGTGCACGTTGTTACATCTCGCAATCCGAAGGGCTCTACGTTCAGTCCGTTCGGCTCGGTTAGTTGCCGGCCAGTTATCGTAGACAGGTTTGCAAACTCATCGAGCATCGTCGTCAATCAAATCAATGAGCTGCCGTTGGAGAGATGCCTTGTGGATCTAGACTGGATCGCTGACAGGGGAGAGAAATGCACTTCCGCAACTTGAAGTCCGGTGATTGAGGAACAATTCAGCATAGCTTGGCAAGCTCAGCAAGCTCAGCCGTGGGGTTTTAAGACATGGATTAGGCGTAAGAAAATAGTCGGGATGTGGACAGGCAGAGACTAAGACGATGATTCTGCAGGCCACTGAGAGCAGGCTGTGTTTCTCGCACATCTAAAGCCGGGTGAGGTAGCCAACCACTAATCATGATGTTATCTGAGGATACGACCTTGCGAGTTTTGCATTTCCGCCCAAACAGTCTCAAACATTTACAGTGTCTCCTTTCGTCGATGTGGGATTCTTGGCGAGGAATAATAACTGGCAACAAATAGTAAAAGTCGGGTGATATTGGCGGGGACCTCTGGGGGACCATCTTCGAGATGGAGTGTTGGAGTAACCCTGTTGGAGATGGAAGTCAACTCTATCGAGGCGTCGGTACCTGTTTCTTGCCGTGCCATGGGGTGATTGATATGATGAGGTCTTCAAGACAAGACAAAGATGGGGGGTTGATGCCTCAGCAGCATCTTTGTCTTAGTACCTTTTGCATGCCTAATGACGTGCCTCTTGAGAGGTTTATGGTGAGGCTGCTGTGGCTCAAGATGGCACCTTGCATGTAGGATGGGCAGACCAGAACCCCCAAATGCTCCAAATACTCCCATAGTATCATCACAACCCAACTATCTGTGCCATTTCCCCCAAGCTACCTACGGACTAGATTACAGGCAGATGGGACCGCGGACCGGAGATGCCATGAAGCATAAGGGGCCCCGCGCACCCTGCTCTTCGTCATATGCAAAAATCTCGAGATTTTGGGGTTCAAGTTGCTAGGGCTGAATCTTTGGGGGTTGGGGTTCCATGATGAAAATTTCCCATGTCTCATCAACTCCAAATTCGGAGACATGACCCAGACTATCAAGTCTTGTTGAAACCCCAACCTAATTCACATGTTTATTTTGGAATTGCATCTCTGCTACGATAAGATATGGACCCGTATCCATAGAGGTAAAGGATCCATATGTTAGCGGTCTGTTTATCGGTTGGTAGTGACGACTCCGAAAATTGGTGCCTCCTCGGAACATACTTCCTCGGGACCTACGCCGGACTTGTAAGAACCCAATGAGTGAGTGTTACCCTTGATCGACCACGTCTAGAATTTCAAGAGACTCCACTAACTAAGTAGGTAAATTAGATGAGCAGGTAGCCTTGTAAATGGACACTATCTCAAGTTGAGGCTCTTGTTCCAAGACCCATCCTAACCGCCCTAGCCGTAATTCTGATGTGTGTCTGTTGTTGAGCGCCTTCACGTTGCATTGCGTAACATGTTAGAAATGGGCCGTTATGAACGGGTTTGGTTATCTGTTGTTGAGAGAGTCAAGACAGTTCACATGTGAAATGCGACATCAGTCTGCCACGACATGAACTCATAGTCTAGTCATGGCTCAGATGAGTGAATACCCCTTGATCTACGTACATAGTATTGAGCCAATCTTCACCCCATCCACGGCGGATATCATCCTCGGATTCCTGGAAAAGTGACGTGTTTACACAGCCCGCGGTCTGAAGTTTTTCACGCCATAACCGAGGATATCAAACATGAACAGACCAGAGTTGCGGCTTTAATTAGACCGTAGCCAAGCTAAGCGCAAAGAATGTCGTAACTTTGGTATCCTTGCATCATGTCAGGACTTCAATGTCCTAGTCCCAGACAACCCTTGCTTGGTTCCTGATGACCGTCGGGGGTGGGACGGAAATAGGGTCTAGACTAGCCGGGTATTAAACAGCTCCGTATGCAGCTGTAAGGTTTGAGAACTGATGTTTTTAGGTATGATACATAGAACAGAGTTTCTTATTTTGCACGCGCGATTTAACGATAATCTGACCATTGTGTCGATATCTCGAAGCATAGAACCTTGGAGGGGTAGCAATAATCAAAGAGTGATCAGGTAGGGGTTTTCTGCGATGGAATCCATTGAATAAGGTAAGGTAGACTCTCTGTAGCCGTAGCCCTGTGGAGTCTCAATCGGCAGTGTTGACGCCTGTATCCACTACGAGCCGCGCTGATGGATCAGGTCCAGTTGCTGTTGAGCATCGATATCTTTTGTTGGCGAGGCTTGACTGGGTATTGAGTCGCGCAACTGACCAACAAGAGGCCCATGGTATTCCTCGCGTTAATACAGCATCTTAATACCTGCCGAGCGGGGTGTATCTAACTTTTAGCAGGCAACAAAAGCAAATCAGATGCCGTAGCTAGCACATGCAAGATGCAGCATCAGAAGAAGAAGCACATTTGACTCCTCGCCCTCAACGGACGACTATTTTGCATCTGATATTAAACCCGGCCCGGAACCGGAGTTGAGTTCTAGTACAAGAATGCTCCGTGAGCGCTGTATGATGGAAAGCCGGTCCTGGATTGCGGCGGCGCAAGCGGCGGCAGAACAAGCGGTTATTTGCTGACAGATTGGATACCTACAATTCAGGTACCTGCGATTTACAGGTCGTATAGACTTCATTACAATAAATACTCATCGAGATGATGTCTCCTTCTATCATGTCACTATCAAACGCCGAATGTTGACATGGAAGCATTGGTCAATGGATAGCTAAAATCTAGGTAGCCTATCAGATCGCTCCCGTTTATTACCGTCGGTTGCGTCATAAGTTGAGCTATTCATTCCACGTCCGCCCAACAACAACCTCTCAGTTTTGGTGTAGAGAAACACGAGAGCTCAGGCCTTGGCTCCTACGATGAAGAGGAGATTGAGCTTGTGACTGTTTCACGCCTGCCGTAGCCGCAGCCACTCACTTGCACATGGATTGCTTTTGGACGTGGCCAGCCCCTCATTTTCAAGCGTAAGCAAGTCCAAAGCTTAAGCTTCTTACACTGCAGCTGGAGCTCTAGCTCTCTTGAAACGGATATGGATTGCAGACCAAGTCAAATAAACACACAATGCGTCCATTCTTATCATAGCTTTGAGAGAATTGCTGTAATTGAGGTCCAGCCAGTCAATATTAGGAACCGTCCTCAATACTGTGCTGTGCGATGCTGTAAGAGCTCTTTGGTGGTTGCAGTTACAGAAGAATGAGGGGTTGCCAATCCCGAGGCACCAACAACGTCACGTTGATTACAACTCGAATTGGCTAACCTTTGTCAATGTCACCTACGTACTGTACATAGGCAGTAAGTACTAGCTAGGCGACTAAACCTACTCTCGGGATCTTGATCAGCATGTCATTAATCCGCTTCTATCAAAACAGGTCCTGAAGCGTCAACCCCGCATTTCAACAGCAGCAGCAAAAGCAACAGCAACAGTTACTGTGTTAGTTGTACTGTTGCAGCCGATAGCCCGTAGCTGAACGCGTCAACAACAAAGCAACCACTCACTGTGCAACAGCTTACAACTTTGGGCCAAGCCTGACGCCGGACTGAACCTTGGTATGGTGACGTTCCTCGGTGAGTGGCTCGGCGTCTGCCCTTCTCTTCCATCTCTGGCCTCTGGTGGAGGGTCGCCAGTGGTTCATATCGATGCGCCAGTAGATGCTGAGCTCGATCAACATCACGGCAGGTCTCGTGCTGCCTTTGATGTAGCAGTAGAGCTTCCTTTCTCTCGCCTTTCTCTCGGTTGTCGGCCCTCTTCGGAGACACGCAATGCTATTCCCCCTCTTTACTTTCCTTCCATTCATCTGAAAGAGGTATCAATAGCCCATCCTCTCTTGTTCTTTAATTCTGCCTCCCCTCCCACATCTTGCTCCTCCTTCATCATCTGAACGTGACGCAGATCGCAAAGCCTCTTTCTGTCCTCGCTTGCTACTGTATTGAACCATTGTTGAGAGACCTGCATAACAACAATATCCGTCTTGTTTCCAAGTATCAACAGTTCC